GGAACAGCGTGGGAAACGGCACTTCCACTCACTGCGTGGTATGTGAACACAGAATGTGATGATGTAAGGGCTCCTCGGCAAACACAACAAAACGCCCAGGAGCCGGAGCTGTTGCTTAATTTTGCCTTTCTCTGCCCTACTAGAACGTCAGCTCTGCGCACCTTTCATCACTGGCCCCCGCCCGGTGTCCGCACAGGGCCCAGCGCTGAGGCGGCACATGCTGGCTGGGCACGTGCTGAAATGCACAAACACAGCCTAGGTGAGCGGCCAGAGACGTCCCGTGGGCCTGCCACAATCACAGCTTCCAGACAGGCTGCAGGCAAGTGCACGAAGCCCAGAAAGAAAAGGGCAAAAGTAAAATCATCGCTATCAGGATTCTGGGAGACTCTTTGTTCTCCCTGGGCCATCTAAGCTTTTGGTACTTACTGTCCTTATTCCTGCTGTGCAACCTCAGGGTGCAAATGAAGATTCATGCACATTCTGAGCCCTCTTCTCTGATCCACAAAAGGATATTGACCTCCAAATTCTTCCACTGTTCCCAACTGAGGGCCCTGGAATAGCTTCATTGCTGAAGAAGCACAAATGCCGTAACACAGGAGCTGTGTTCTTAACTGCTTATTATTAACGTATAAGCTGACTGCTGAAGCTGGCAGGGGGCCAGGAAAAAGAAATTCACCATTTGGGGGCTCTGGGGAGTGAGGGGCAGGAAGCCAAGTAGACACATGCTGTTGAATTTCAGGATCCCAAGTGGACTCTCGGGACTTTGGAAAACTTCAGATGGGTCAAACGTGGACCGAACCTAGAACATTCCCAGGCAAATTAAGCCAGTGGAGGGGATAAAGCCCTGCCCAAGCCTGAGCTCAGGTTCATTTACATCCAGAGACTGTGGGGGATCTGACCAGGCTGATGGCACCCCCTGCACACACAGCACCCGGCCTGCTCTGAGCAGAGAAGCACAGACCCTGCTGGAGGCCACCTGGGGACTTCTGGGTTTGAAACCAGAAGGACAGCTGATACTGCAGGGGAGACCTGACTGCCAATTTCCAGAAGTCACCATTAGAGGGAAGGGGTGGTCGGGGCCGCTGCCTTTCTTGAGCCTCCACAACCTCCCAGCAGCCCACTGGGGCAACATGGATGAGATCCTTGGGTCAAGGACAACGTGGTCTGGGGAGGAACGTGGGCTGGGAGTGAAGACCGTTGCCTCTTATCCCCACTCAGTCACCAATTCATGGTGGTTAACCTGAAAAGGTTTAACACAGAATGACCATATGATCCAGCAATTCCACTCCTAGGTATATAATCAAGAGAAATGAAAACATACGTTCACACAAAAACTTGTACATGAATCCTCACAGCAACATTATTCATAATAGCCAAAAAGTTCTACAACAAGCCAAATGCCTATCAGCTGATGAATAGACAGACATAATGGGATATGTCTATACAACAGAATATTATTCAGCCATGAAAATGAAGAATACATGCTACAACACAGATAAACCTTCAAACGTTATGCTAAGTGGAAGAAGCCAGACACAAAGGACCACAGAGTGTATGATTCCATTTATATGAAATGGCCAGACCATGCAAATCCATAGCGGCAGAAAGATCAGTGGCTGCCAGAGGGTGGGGGAGGGGAAGCGACTGCTAGTGGCTGTGAGGTTTCTTTTCAGGGTGATGAAAAATGTTCTAAACTTGATGTGGTGCTGGATGCACAACTCTGTGAATGTACTAAAAACCACGGACTCATGCACCATAGATAAGTGAATTGCATGGCACGTGAATTATATACATCGTGAATTGTATGTCAATAGAGCTGCTGTAATGGAGATTGTGGGGGGATGGCAGGTCCCCCAGTGTGGTCCCTGCCAGCATCAGTATCATCTGGGAGTGTGTTAGACCTCCAGACCTCCAGAATCAGAAGCTCCAGAGTGGGGCCCAGCAGTCTGCATTTTAACAAGCCCACCAGGTGATTCTGAAGTCCACTAAAGCTGGGGGCCGCTGCTTAGAATATGTGGCTCTCAGCCTTGGCTGTGCACTGGAATCACCTGGGAGACTTCAAAAACAAGCCCCGTGCCCTGGCCAAGACACCCCCACCAACTAAATCAGACTCTCTAGGAGTGGAGCTCTGCCACAGCATGGTTTAAAGCTCTCAGATCTCTTGGACATGCGGGGTGCAAGCCCCTGAACCAGAGGGTGTCTCAGTCCCCCGGCTCTTCAGTGCCTCGAAGAATTTGGCCAGGTAGGTCACTGGCGCCACCTGGTGGCCATATTCTGGAATGACTCTACATCTTGCCTCTGGGCCCTCCAAGGGGCCCTGGGGCTCAGGGATCCCCGTCCTCCCACTGCAGAGGTCACAACCAACCTGGCCTTTGGAAAGGGGGTGGGTGACCTGGTGGGAGCGGTAAGAATCCTCAGCTGGCTCTGCTTCCTCTCTCCTCACTAAAAAACACTTCACATTCAGAAGGCAGCCAGAGTGACCACCTCTAACACCCCACCCACCTTCCTTCTCCAATGCCAACAGAGTAAAGCAATCACCTCTCACAGCCCCAACCACCTTTCCCTCTCCAATGTCCAAGGAGGAGCGCCAACTCACCCACACCAACTCATCTCCAACAACTTCTATGTCATCAGATGTGTGCACCAAACCACCTTTGCTGCCTCTAAACTCGTTTTGCACCTTTCGGCCCCCTGGCCTTTGCCATGCAGCCCCTCCCACCTGACGCACCTTCCCAGGCTCTCTGAGGACACTGCTCCAGGCCAGCTCTGGGGGAACCCTCCTCTCTCCCCAGGGCTCAGGCCCTGTCATGCTCCCTGCTCCGCCCTCTGGGTGCCTCACAATGGACTTCTAGGGCTGCGGAGATGAGAGGAAGGGAGGCCTATCAGCTTCAGAAGTCAGGGAGGTAGGGGCTAACAGACCCTGGCCAGCATGGGATGGAGGGTCTAAGATGCTCTGAAGCAGGCATCCTTTTTCAACTATTGGGCCTCCAGCTGGAGACTGAACTGGAAGCTTCGATTCTCAACCCTCTCAGCATCCTCTGAAAGTGGGAGGAGCTCAGCTTCTTAGCTCATTGCTGCCACAAGACCGTTGTGAGAGGGACCCAAAGGTAACTCAAAAGGAGACTCAGGATCCAATCTAACTATGGCCCTGAAGAAAATAGTTCTTCCTAAATTCACCAAAGTCCATCTTCTGAAACTCCTTAACCACCTTCCTCTCCCCACATTTAACAGCCTTTTTTTTTTTTTTTTTTTTTTTTTTGAGACAGTCTCTCTCCATCACCCAGGCTGGAGTGCAGTGGAGTGACAACAGCTCACTGCAGCCTCGACTCCTCAGGCTCAAGAAGTCCTCCCACCTCAGCCTCCCAAGTAGCTGGGACCGTAGGCCAACATGCCCAGCTAATTTTTTTTCTTTTTTTTGTAGAGACAAGGTCTTGCTATGTTGCCCAGGCAAGTCTCAAACTCCTGGCCTCAAGTGATCCTCCTGCCTATGTCTCCCAAAGTGCTGGGATTACAGGTGTGAGTCACTCTTCCCCTGGCCTGGCAGCCTCTTAATCTCTCCAAACTCCCCTCCCAATTGACCTCTGATCTTGGACCCAGGTTGACCCCAGATGCCTTACCCTGCCTTCCAGCTAGGCATCCACCCTTTGCCCCAATCAGGGCCTGATCCATGACCCTGAGCAAAAGCTGGGCCCAATCAGTCATTGCCCCAATGTGTGCACAGCTGCAGCCGAGCATAGGGCTGGCTTGGGGCAGGCCCCCTCTGCAGGGGCCACAGGCAAGAGCTGTTTCTAAGAATTGCTGGCCAGCAGTGGGGAACACATGACTGGCACATACAGCCCCCTCTCAGCACCATGGAGTCCTCACCCCCTACCCGCCGGCTCGCACCACTGCCCCTCCCACTCAGCACCTGCCTCTGTCCCAGAAGGCAATCAGATTCACTGGGCCAGAGAGGAACAGAAGTGGGCACTCCACACAGAGACCCAGGAAGAAAACTCCAGAGCCCACATTAGCCTGTGGTCATGGGACTGGGCCAGTAGGGCTGAGTGTGACAGAGCAGGGAGTACTGGGGACTCAGGCAGGCTTAAGGGCACATTCTTTCCAGATAGGCTGAAAATCCAGATTATTACATGAAATCTGGACTATTATGAAACTTTTATTTTTTTGAGGAGTCTCACTATTGCCCAGGCTGGAGTGCAATGGCACGATCTTCGCTCACTGCAACCTCCGCCTCCTGGGTTCAAGCGATTCTCCTGTCTCACCCTCCCGAGTAGCTGGGACTACAGGTGCCCACCACCACGCCCAGCTAATTTTTGTATTTTAGTAGAGATGGAGTTTCACCACATTGGCCAGTCTGGTCTTCAACTCCTGACCTCAGGTGATCTGCCTGCCTCGGCCTCCTAAAGTGCTAGGATTACAGGCATGAGACACCGTGCCTGGCCAAAACTTTATTTTTATAATGTGGTAAGTTATTTAAAAACAATTTTTACTGAGCAGACCAAAAACACCCCATCTGGGAGCCAGCCCCAGCCCCAGGGCAGCACAGACATACCCACATCCCGAGATGACGGCCTCCGTGCTAGCTGTGAAACAGCCACTCCAAGACCCCGAGGGTCCCCACCCACCACGACCTGACTCCTGTCCGGGACCTCTGGTCCCCCTGCCAGGACTCAGAAACTAGAGGGTTAATGCCTGGCACCACAGGGCTCCTGGGTGTTCACTCTGATTGGCCACATCCTTGATTGGTCCCAGGGCCGCAGCAGTTGTTGAATGCTTTGAACGTGGCCCCTGCACGCATCGCCCTCACTACTCCAGAATCTGGTATGAGTGGGTTGGGGCTGGGGATGTGTCCATTTCATGGGTCACTTCCACTTCCAGAAGGTGGAAAAGTGACCAGGAGCCAAGGAGGGGCCCCTAGGACCCCTAGCAACCCCAAAGCCACATCAGCCACTCCCTGGGCCGTGCACACCTGGAAGGGTGGCTGGGGTGGGGCAAGGGCTCACCTGGCGGTAGGTGCAGATGATGATCTCCCGCAGGTGGTAGTGCATGGGCGTCATGGTCTCACTGACGGTGTCCAGCGCCGCGTCCACCTCCTTCTTCACACGGTGCCCATCGGGCAGCAGCTGCACCACCTTCATTACTACCTGGGGCCAGAGAACGGGGGTGAGCAGACAGAAAGCTGGTGGGGGCAGGTGAGAACCCACAGCCCCAGCACCAGGCTTGCACCCTCACCAAAAGGCCACACCAGGCCTAAGGCCCAGGTGCTGACCACAGAGCCCTGCTCCTCAGTTCTCAGACAGAGGGAGGACGGGGGATCCTGGACATCTCAGGGGCCAGGCTACCCAGGTGCTTTTCTTTTTCCTCCACAATTGGGATTTATTGGTTGTGTTGAGGATCAGTACACAGACATTGCAATTTGTACCGAAAATCTAAAAAAGGTATGGATTATGATTCCTTTTTAGTTATCCCATTGACATTTTTTGTTGTTGTTTTATGGAGACAAGAGTCTCACTCTGTCATCCAGGCAGGAGTGCAGTGGCGTGATCAGGGCTTACTGAAACCTCAACTTCCTGGACTCAGGTGATCCTCCCACCCCAGCCCCCCGAGTAGCTGGGACTACAGGCCCATGCCACCACACGTGGCTGATGTTTTGTACTTTTAGTAGAAACGGGGTTTTGCCACGTTGCCCAAGCTAATCTCAAACTCCTGGGCTAAAGCAATCCACGCTCCCAGCCTCCCAAAGTGCTGGGAAGTTATTCCATTAATTTTCCAGCCTAAAATTTGGAGGTAAATTGTTCCTTAAGAGAGTATTAAGTACCAGTATCTTCAAGTTCTGATAAGCTGTGGCATAAAAGCCCCACCAATCCACAACTTAGTATCTTGCACACCACACAGATTTTCAGTGTCAGAGCACATCAACAGAGTCACTAGGAAAACAGGACTGCCACAGCCAAAGACATCACAGCGTGCACCCACTTCTCACAGGAGAGCCACAATCAAGAAGTGGTTTTCGTTAGGAAATAATTCTACAAAAAAACATGGGAACAGAAGTGATTTAAGATGTTCAAGACATATTAAATGCACGACTGTGACTCCAAATTGCCATTTTGTATGCTCTGTATTACACGATATAAAAACCACCCCAATGCACTCATGGAATGTTAAGTTGACCTAAGGTGCTTATTTTTGTTTTGTTTTGTTTTGTTTGGGATGGAGTCTCGCCCTGTCACCCAGTCTGGAGTGCAATGGCAAGATCTTGGCTCACTGCAGCCTCTGCCTCCTGGGTTCAACCAATTCTCCCGCCTCAGCCTCCCGAGTAGCTGCGATTACAGGTGCCTGCCACTGCACCCAGCTAATTTTTGTATTTTTAGTAGAGATAGGGTTTCGTAATGTTGGCCAGGCTGGTCTTGAACTCTTGGCCTCAGGTGATCCGCCCACCTAAGCCTCCCAAAGTGCTAGAATTACAGGCGTGAGCCACCACGCCTGGTCGAGGTGCTTATTTTTTAAGCAGTAGAAATCCTGCTTCAAACGAGGCCTCATGCAGAACTTTGATCTATAAAACAGATAGCTGTCACATACCAGGGTTGGAGGAGTGAGGAGGGGGTGTGAGAAGCCTCCCCACCCTCCTCCTAACCTCCAGGAGCCCCAGGTACTGCGCAGACGCTCAGAGTTGGACACTACTCATCTGATATTATCCCCCACCCACGCCAGGTGCAGTGGCTCATGCCTGTAATCTCAGCACTTTGGGAGGCCGAGGTGGGGAGATCGCTTGAGGCCAGAAGTTCAAGACCGATCTGGCCAACATAGTGAGACCCTATCTCTGAGTAATAAGAAAAAGAAAAAGAAAAAGAAAAATGATATAATCTGCCCTTTATTGCAAGGGAAAACTGAAGCCTGTTTAGGTCACTCTATGGCTCTTCCCCCCCAGGCCCTCTCAGCCACCCTGTGCTGAGTTCCCCTCCAAATCTGTCTACACTGCACCTCTCTACAGCTGGCACCTGATCCAGACCTCCATCCCCCTTTGCCTCCACATCAGTACCCCTCTGACCAGCGTCTCCACCTCCTCCCCGCCCTCCCTCTCCCTGGTGGCCAGAGAGGTCTTACAAAAGTATAGATGTGAACCCATGTTTGTATAATTCCCAGGCTTTGATCTCTTCATGGCTCCCTTGCACTCAGCACAGAAACTGGGGCCCACAAGGCCCCCTGCACCACCCGGTCCCAGCCTATTTCTCCAGCCTCACCCATAACCCCTCCCACCACCCACCCCCACCACTCTGCAAGGTCCCCGCAGAGCCCTGTCCCATGGTCGACAGCCACCTGCTCATCTGCTTCTGCTTTCATGCCTGCTCCCCACTAAGTGAGGGGCTTTCTGCCAGCACCTGGAGTGGCACCTGGCACCTGCCCGATGCCCCAGCAACAGCTGCCCAGTGAATGAATGAACACCTAACTCGCCCTCTTCTCTCTCTGGCTGCCACTTAAGAACAGGGAAAGGCCTTTCCCCAACTCGTGTGTTTCTCAGAGAGTCCTGGCCTGGGGCTGGGCACCCCAGCAGGCATGAAGTTGCAGCCAAGTGGGAGGAGAAAAAAGAATAGTCTGGAAGGAACTAGTGGCAGATCTGGCTAAGGCTGTGCCCAGGGGAGCAGGAGGGAGCTGCCCAGTCCACACCTCCAATCCCAGACTCTAGGCAGGTCCCCAGGAAGGTGCAGGGAACTGTGTCCCCTGGGGGCCACCTCAGATAGGACTGCAGCTTTTCACAGGGAACCCAACTCCTGGCCTCTGCTGCAGCTGTTCCTCCTCTGAATTCCACATCTCGACAGCTGTCACGACCGCAAAGCCAGAAACTCGAGGTCATCCTAGGTGCCGTCCTCACCCCACATCCAGGAGCCCACAAGACCTACCAATGAGAACTGGGCTGCTCCTGCTCACCCTGCAGCCCCTCCTCACTCAGCTCCTGCCTCTCCCTCCACTCCCCAAACCACACAACTGCCTGCTGGGACCCCCAGACTGAGAGTCTGATCACAACCTCCTCTGCCTCCCTGCTGGCCTCACAGTCAAGGTCAAACACATAGTGCAACCCTCCAGGGCCTTCACAATCCGGGCCCCCACCCCTCAGTCCTGCCTGCTTCCCTTCTGACAAATCACAGCCTTACATCGTTCCTGTCCTTTCCAGAATCCCTCCTTTGCACACTTGATCTTTCTACACACTCCTCTCCTCACCAAGCATACTCACTAATCTTCCCCAAAGGCACTCAAATGCTGCCTCCTCTATGAAGCCCTCTCAGGCTCCCTCAGCTGCACTCTTGGCCCTTAAAACCAGTGTCTGCTCTGGGCCTCTTCATGCTCTATTGAATATTCCCTTCTCCCCAACAGACTGTTGGCTCAGCAAATGCTGAACTAATTGCAAAGGAAGCTGGTCTAGATTATCTGGGGGTGGGTGAGGATGGGGTATACAAGGATGTCTTCAGGTCACATGATGTAACTTTGGAACACAGGCTCTGAGGTTCACAGCCTGGCTTATACCCCAGCCCCACCTCTCTGATGTGGTCCTAGGGTAATAAACTTGTCTCCCCAGGCCTCATTTTCTCATCTACAAACTGGGAGCAGTAAAAGCACCTACCTCCTGGGGGCTGGGAAAGGAGACAGGGGGAGTACACACAGCTCCCAGCACAGGGCCTGGTGTAAGGAAGCAGAGGCCTGACCATCACATTCGAAGGACCAATGCGAAGACTAAATTCAGCTGGAAAATAAACCCTCATATATATGGTCAAGTGGCTTTCAACAAGGGTGCCAAGACTTTTCAATGGGGAAAGACAGACTCTTAAACTAATGGTGCTGGAAAAACCAGATATCCACATGCAAAAGAATAAACTTAGACAACCCTTACCTCACACCATATACAAAAACTAACTCAAAATGAATCCCAAAAAAAAAAAAAAATCGTAAAACTTAGGATTTTAACCTAAGAGTTAAAACTATAAAAGTCTTAGGATAAAACACAGGGGAGAAGCTTCATGACATTGGAGTTGGCAGTGATTTCTTGGATACAGCACCAAGGGCATAGGCAACAAAAGAAAAAACAGACAAACTGGACTTCATCAAAATTAAGAACTTTTGTGCATCAGATGACACTATGAATGAGTAAAAAGTCAGCCCACATAATAGAGAACATATTTACACATCACCTCTCTTATAAGAGATTAGTTTCCAGAATATACAAAGAACCAAAACTCAACAACAATCCAATTCAAAAATGGGCAAAGGACTTGAACAGACATTTCTCCAAAGAAGATATATGAGTGGCCAATAAACACATAAGAAGATATTGAACATCACTAATCATTAGAGAAATGCAAATCAAAGCCACAAGATACCACTTCATACCCAGCAGGATGGCTATTATCAAAAAAAAAAAAAAAAAAATTGGCTGGGCAGGGTGGCTCACGCCTGTAATCCCAGCACTTTGGGAGGCTGAGGCGGGTGGATCATCTGAGGTCAGGAGTTCGAGACCAGCCTGGCCAACATGGTGAAATCCCATCTCAAGAAAGAAACAAAGAAAGGAAGAGAAAGAAAAGAAAAAACAGAAATCGAGTGTTGGCGAGGATGTGGAAATATTGGCACCTTTGTGCATTGCTGGAGGGAATGTAAAATGGTGCATATCCTGCGGCAAACAGCATGGTGGTTCCTCAAAAAAGTAAAGAGAATTACCATAGGACCCAGTAATTCCATTCCTGGGTATATGTCCAAAAGAATGGAAAGCAGGGACTCAGCTACGTGTACAATGCACTTCATAGCAGTATCATTCATGACAGCCAAAAGGTGGAAGCAAATAGTGTCCTTTGATGGAGGAATGGAGAAATAAAATGTGGTCTATCCATACAATGGGATATTATTCAGCCTCTAAAAGGAAAGAAATTCTGACACATGCTACAATGTGGGTAAACCTTGAGAACATCACGCTCAGTGAAATGAACTAGTCATAAAACACAAATACTGTACGATTCCACTCATAGAAGATTCCTAGAGTAGTTACATCCATTGAGACAGAAAGTAGAACAGGGGCTGCTGGGAGGGAGGATGGGGAATTATTACTGAATAGGAGGGCAGAGTTCTGTTTTGCAAGATGAAAGAGTTAGATGGGTTGTGGCAATGGTTGCACAACAACGTGAATGTACTTAAGGCCACTGAACTGTACATTTAAAAATGGTTGACATGGTACATTTTATGTTATGCCTATTTTACCACAAAAAGAAAAGGAAAAAGGAAAGAATCAGAGAATCAGCCAGAAGAAGGAAGGGAGAAGGCACAGCATATGCAAAGGCCCAGAGGCTGCAAGAGCTTGGAAAGTGTGAGGTGCTGCACAGCAGTCAGGGCCTCAGGACTGTGGCGAGGGCAGGGGAGGGGCAAGTAGCGAAGGTAGCCAGTGACACAAGAGCCAACTGTGTTGCCAACTGCAGGTCAGCCATGGGTCAACTCTGAGAGACGTTGCCATGACTCTTGGAATGCCTGAGAAGATGGCCTGTGGCATGTGGCAGGTGCACAATACATGGATGACTAAATCTGTAATGTTTGTGGCTGGCCATCCAGTGCCCTAATCTGAAATAGGGGAACAGGCAGAGCAGAGCAGGCTGGTGACCCACACAAGGTCATCAACCACAGCTGGGTTGAAGGTGCTGAGAGGTTGTTATCAACATTACCCAGACAAGACGGTGGCCAGTGACCTCCCCAAGGCACACAGCAGCCCAGCAGCAAGGCCAGGCAGGGAGGGGTCCAGCCCACATCTCCATGGCCAGCCATCTGCCAGGGCCCCAGAGCCAAGCTGCCCCATGCCTTGCTGGGCTCATCCATAAAATGGGAACAGGGAAGCACTGATATGATGAGGTGGCAGAGGTGACAGCATTGGGACGTGCTTTGAGGACCCCTAGACCTGTGAGCAGGCGTCCTCCTCCTCCTCCTCCCATTCCAAGGTGCTCCAGGGACCCCGCAGGGCATGCTCACCTGAAATTCACCCTTAGTGAACTTGGCATCAGGCACACTCACGAGCTCCTCCTCACCCACATCGGGGAAGCCCTGAGGGAGGACAGCTGCTGAGACAGAAGCCCCCTCCCAACGCCAGGAGCCCCTTGCTGGGGAGGACTGGGGGGCTGCCCAAGACTGATGGAAGGGGTTCTGGGACCACACCAGGCTATCTGTGCCCCTCACACCCTCCTGCAGGACCTGTGTGCCTGGGACCTGAGTGTCCACTCCCTTCTGGGCATATCTCTAATCTCCCTGGAGAGGCCACACATACCTGGATGTGCCAGAAGGCCAGGACAGCCACCACCATCGCAGTCGTGGTACGGCCCTGGCCGCTGAGGCAGCTGAACACGAAGCCAGTGCCTGGGTCCTTGGAGAGGGAGGCCCATAGGGTCTCCAGCAGCTGGTCAAAGTCCTGGGTGGGGAGAGCAAGGTCTGGGTCAGCGGGTGCCTCCTGGATGCGCAGACCCCAACGGGGCCCCCCGTCCACATGGCAGCCCCATCCACATGGCAGTCCCAGCCACTGTCCTCAGGCCAGAAACTCTCAGGCCCCCAAGCTTGCACACACAAACAAAACTCACTGGAGTGCATGAGACTATGTGCGTGTCAACGCAGCTGTAACCACCCTCACACCAAGCACCCGAACAGGACCTGTGAGCCAACACAGTACGCACCTGGGGCTCAAGGTGCCCGCCCTCCACCACGCAGGACATGCACCTGTATGCCACCCCTGTGTACTGCGCCCCTGGGCTGCACATGGATCGCTGGCCCTGCCACCCACCTGAGCTGGACCCAACCCTGGTCCCACGATGAGGATGGAGGCCTGACCTCAGAGAAGCCTGGCAGCACACGGCCACTAGGGGGCAGCAGACCGCAGGCAGTGAGAGCCGCGGAGAGATGCGCCAGGAGGGGCTCAGGCAGGAAACGGACCCCATTGCCAGAAACACACAGCACACAGCGACCCACCTACAACACACGCACCACAACACACGCCAGACACACAACGCCACACAGGGATCCACGTCCCGTAAACACACTATAGAGACACCCACAGTCACAGACCTACAGATGCCACACACAAGCATTCCTAACGATCCCTCCACAAACCCTACCACACACACCACACCACTCCCCTAAAGATGGTTTTCCACACACAGCCCCCAACACAGACAAGGGAAACATCACAAACTCCATAAAAACACATGCACACACACAGCCACACTCCACACGCCACCCACACACTCCACACGCCACCCACACACTCCATACACAGTCCCCAACTGAGACACACACACCACGCACACCATGGACATGCTCACCCTCAACACACACACACACACCCCTTATAACAAATACACGCACACACCTGTAACAGAATACACACACACCCTGATAACACACACACCTATAACACATACACCCATAACACAATACACACACATACACCCTACAACACGTAACACATGTACACACACCTTATAACACATACACACACGTAACAGAATACACACCCCGCTAACACACACACACCTATCACACACACACACACACACGTAACACAATACACACACACACACCCTACAACACATAATAAACACATGTACACACACCTTATAACACATATGCACACATGTAACAGAATACACACCCCGCTAACACACACCTATCACACACACACGTGTAACACAATACACACACACACCCCCTACAACACATAATAAACACAGGTACACACACACACAAAGCTTGGAAGGGATGTGAATAAACCACTTGGGCCAAATCGGAAAAACCCCAGGAGACCATCCCTGGGCCCCATAGGGAAGCCGGGGCCGTTTCATTCTCCCAGAGCCCAGGCCAGAGGGGAGGCAGGGAGGCCTCCCGTCCTTCCGCAGAGGCCTCAGCCTGAGCATCACCCTCACCTCCTCTCGGGGAGCACCGAAGTCCGGCATGGGGATGCGGTGGTAGGTGAGGCCGGGGCAGGTCCTGCGGTGCTGGCTGAAGACCTCCTGCGTGGTGAGCCAGGTCTGGAACCTGTGGGTCGGGGGACCCTCCTTGCCCGGGGGAGGCTCACTTAGATGGGCCTTCAGCTGGGCCTCCAGGGTCTGGGGAAGGGCAGGAGGGAGCACACAGGCCACTGGGGCAGGCTGTAGGCTGGCCCTGGCTTCCAGTCCCATCCCTGACCTTCCAAGCCTCAGGGGTCACAACCACCCCCAAAGCCAGGCAGGTTACCAGAGCACTTTAGTGGGAATCCTGAGTTGGCCACTCCCTGACACTGCTCCTCCCGGGGCCTCAGATTCTCCATCTGTATACAGGAGCGTGGGGCCTTCTGAAGACCCTCCCAGGCCACTCCCCAGAAGTCTCGGAGGAAGGGGTGCCTAGAGGGCAGGGGGCCTCACCTCCAGCTGGTCAGGAGTCACAGGGGGCCCAGGCCGCTGCAGGCTGTGGGTGTGCCCGTCACACTCCAACACGGCCTCCTCCCTCAGGCTCACCCAGACGACCTTCCGCAGCCTCCTCTTGGCGTCTGTCAGGTAGGCCAGGATGCTCCCCAGGGCCTGGGCACGGGAGGGCCGGCAGTGAGCCCTCAGCCCTCCCTCCTCAACCCCACTGGGGGACCCAGGCTCCTAGGAGAGGTCACCTTGGCGCTGGGCTGGGCTGTGCCGTAGATGGGCATGCGGGGCACCCGCCGGAAGTTGGCCACATCCATCTCTCTGACAGTGCTGAGTGCGTCCGGGGAGACCAGATCGTCCTCCCGCTGTGGGGAGAGCACTGAGCCTGGGACCCACAGCAGCCGACTGCAGCCGCAGGAAGGGTCAGGACCTGGCCCAAGGCAGGCAGCGGGTGGGGTGGAACCCGAGCTTCACAGTTTACAAAGCACTTGGAGCTTCCCCCCAGCCCTGGCAAGAAGAGCAATGGTGCTCACTCTCCAGACCAGGAAGCTGAGGCTCAAAGACAAGAAGCTAGAGGCAAAGATCCTAGAACCCTGCCCAGAGCTCTTGGGTTTGAGACTGAGGAGAAGGTACCAGAACAGCGGCCAAAGCTGCAAATACTTGCTGGGGCCTGAGCACGACCCCATTCTGCTCACAAGAGGATCCCAACACCCACAGCCTCTCTTGTTCACCCGCGAGTGCAATGCTTACCCCAACCCCACAGGAATCCAGTGTTCAGGGGCCAGGGCCAGTACACAGCCATGCCCACTTCCCCGACTGCCAGTCACACTCACCAGGGAGCCCTCGGCAATGAGGTCCCTCGGAGCCACAGGGCCTGCTGAGCTCAGCGTCACGGGCAGGCGGTACAGCTCAGGGTGGGCACACAGCCAGCGGCTGAAACTGAGGGCAAAGGCCAGCGGGTACTGCAGCCCGAGGCAGAGAGACGAGGAATTCAGGGGCACAGGGCCACCCTGAAATCTCCCTGCCCACACCATGGCAGGGGAAGCCCCAGGAGATAGCCAACATGGCCCGGGGCAGGGACAAGGGAGTGGCTGAGAGAAGACCTGGACATCTGGTGTCCTGGCTAAGGACAGAAACGAGGGCCCAGGGGAGAGAGGTGGGGCCTCCCTGTGCCCAGCTGCTCAGGGAGTACTCCTGAATCTGGGTCTCTCCTGGTTTCCCTTCCCTCCCCGGTTCCTTGCAGGGGGTCTCCCTCCACAGCCAGTCAGTCACTGCAGTGGGGAGGCTGGAAGAGGCCCAGGAGGAGGGGACATGGGTCTGCTCCTCCCGGGCCCCACCTGCTCATGAAGGTAGTAGTTAAACAGGATCAGGTAGAAGTACCGCTCCAGGCTCCGCAGCGCCCTCTGCCAGATGCTGTGTCGGCTGCCGCTTCCCTGAGAGGGAGGACAGGGTGTTAAGGAAGGGCCTGTCCCCATCTTGTCCCTGTCCCCATCCCTGCAAGGGCAGGAGTTAAGCCTTGGAACTCTCCAGAAGACAGTCTTCCCCTCCCTTCATGACACAGTTCTGCCAGGCTGGAAGTTCTAAGTGTCTCACCCTATCCTAGTTGCTGTGGTTATCTGCGGTCCGGGGAGATATGTGGGTGACCACACCAGGCACTGTGGTTCTGGGTGCAGTGTTGGTCTCCCCAAGCAGGCTCCCAGCCCCGAGACAAGCAGGGGCTCCCTCACTTAGCTCCAGCGACCCCCAACAGGTCAGGGTTGTGCACCCTCTGTGTTGAGGAAGACAAGTGTGTGAACACCCTTCCCCGAGCCAGAGGCCCTCCCTTAAGAACTGGAACCTGGAGGGGCTCACGCCTGTAGTCCCAGCACTTTGGGAGGCTGAGGCAGCCAGATCGCTTCAGCCCAGGAGTTCAAAACAAGCTGGGCAACATGGCAAAACCCCATCTCTATAAAAAATACAAAAATCAGCCAGGCATGGTGGCACATGCCTGTAGTCCCAGGCACTCATGAGGCTGAGGTGGGAGAATCGTTTGAACCTGGGAGGTTGAGTCACCAGTGAGCTATGATCTCACCGTTGCACTCCAGCCCAGATGACAAAGCGAGACCCTGTCTCAAAAAAACAAATGAAAAAAAAGAAGAAGAAGAACTGGAGTCTCTCCACAAGAAATACAAATACAAAGACCCTCACAGCAGTGCTCCGGGGAGCCATCCTAATTACTCCTAATTTACAGAGGGAAACGGAGATTCAGAGAAATGAGGTGACTTCCTGAAAGTCACACAGCTGACAGCAAACAGAGCTAGATTCCCCGTCTCCTGACTCCGACCCAGCTTCCTCTGCATGGTGGGTTGTCTGAGAGAACCCCAAGGGCCCTCGGATCTCCAGGTTCTCCTGCTGGGTCAATAAATACCCTTTGGAAGGCAAGTGAGATTCAGAGAGGCCCTAAGAAGGGTCACGCCCTTTGGTGAAATTTAATCCCATCTTTGGGAATCTCCACCAGGGGTCGGCAAACTTTTTCCACAAAGGGCCAGACGGTAAATACTCTAGACTTTCAGGCTTCAGGGTCCCTGCTGCAGCTACTGAACTCTGTCATCCTAGCGTAAGAGCAGTCGTGGGCCAGTACAGAAGAGAACAGCAAGACTGTGTTCCAGTAACACATTTACAAAGACAGGCGGCAGGCTGGATTTGGTCTAAGAGCCGTAGTTTGCTGATGCCTAATCTAGACTAAGGGGAGAAAGAATCCTAAATACACAACAGCCTTCATTTTCATGAAGCTGCTCAACAAAGAAGTATTTACACTGATGGGGAACTGGAGCAACTCAATTGTCCAAGAAGAGGGGGACTCTTTAGTAAATCACAGCAGGGGTGACATTCCAGGGACTCTGGCAGGCTCTAAGTACTGTATGGGATTTTTTTTTGGTTTGGGCTTTTTTGTTTTGTTTTGTTTTGTTTTGTTTTTTGAGACAGGGTCTTGCTCTGTTGCTCAGCCTAGAGTGCAGTGGCGCGATCATAGCCCACACTGCACCTCGATCTCCTGGGCTCACGGGATCCTCCTGCCTCAGCCTCCGTGATAGCTGGTACTACTGGGCAAACATCAGCTCCCAGGTAGTTGGTACTATGGGTGCCACCACACCCAGCTAATTTCTGTATTTTTTGTGGAGACGTTATTTTACCATGTTGGCCAGTCTGGTCTCAAACTCCTGACTTCAAGTGATCCATCTGCCTCAGCCTCCCAAAGTGCTGGGATTACAGGTGTGAGCCACTGTCCTTGGCCTTTAAAAAATATTTTTAAAAAGAAAAAGATCCAGTGTTTTGGGAGGCCAAGGCGGGAGGATTGCTTGAGGCCAGGAGTTGATGACCAGCCTGGGCAACATAGCAAGACCCCATCTCTAAAAAAGTAAGGTGTGGTGACATGCACCTGTAGTACCAGGTACTCAGAAGGTTGAGGTAGAGCAATCCCTTGAGCCTAGGAGTTTGAGGTTGCAGTGAGCTATGACTGCACCACTGTGCTCCAGCCTGGGCGACAGAGTGAGACCCTATTGAAGGAGAAAGCAGACCCTATTGAAGGAGGAGGAGAAAATAAGAAGAAGAAAGGAGAAGAAGGAGGAGGAGAAGAAGGGAGGGAGGAGAGAGGGAGGAGGGAGAAGAGAAGAAGGAGGAGGGGGAGAAAAAAAAGGAGAAGTAAGGGTAAGGAGGAGGAGGAAGAAAAGGCAAGGAAGAGGGAGGGAGGAGGAAGAGGAGAAGAAGGAGGAGGAGGAGGAAAAGGAGGAGAAAGAGGGAGAAGGAGAAAGAGGAAGAAGGAGAAGGAAGGAGGAAGGAAGAGAAGGAAGGAGGAAGGAAGAGAAGGAAGGAGGAAGGAAGAGAAGGAGGAGGAAGGAGGAAGAGGAGGAGGAAGGAGGAAGAGGAGGAGGAAGAAGGAAGAGGAGGAGGAAGGAGGAGGGAGAAGGAAGAGGGGGGAGAAGGAAGGAGGAAGAGGAGGGGGGAGAAGGGGAAGGAGGAGGAGGGGGAGGAGGAGGAAGAGGAGGAAGAAGGAGGAGGAGGAAGAGAAGAAGAAACAAGAAAGCAGCAGCAGCAGCCACCTCTGTGGCTTTTAGATTCTTTCCATGCGATGTATGATACAAACACTATCAAGCCCACCTCCTTTCGCTAGGGCATGGGTACAGGGTCTGCTGAGACATCCTAGAGCCATAAGTCTTTCAGAAGCAGCCAGCTGGACCAAACCCCAGTCTTCCCAAAGAAACACCAGGAGTTTTACTAGTGGGAGGCCATGAGTGGCCTGGGGAGTATCTGAGTCCAGGGGCCCCTGCAGCCCTGGCCAGCAGCCCCTTCCTCCGTCCTGTTTATTCTGCAGCTGAAGGGACCTGGTCAGGGAAAGTAAACTTCCCCTCTTCCTTGTCCTTCCTGCGGGCCCAGCCGCCCTATCTCCCCTTCCTCTGAAAACTGCTCTTCTCATGGGAGATGCAGCAGCCAGAAAAAGTCAGTCTGAAAGAAGCCAGTCAACATGCCTAATGAAATCAGGCCGCGGGGCTCACGGGGAAGCAGGGTGCTCGCACATCCTTCCATGCCTCACCTGGGCTGGGTTCTCCAGTCGGAAACCTTCTAACTTCTTCTGGTTTTCCAAGACCACTTCTTTCAGGTCATGCAACTCGGCACAGGCAGTGATGGCTCTGTCCACCTGGTGCCAGGGACCAGGGCAAGGAAGGGGGAGGTGGGGGGGGCGGTGGGGAGCAGGGTCAAGGCAGAATGGCAGGAGAAAAGAGAAAAGAGAGGGAAAGAAAAAGATTGGCAGAGAGGTGGGGGAGGGTATCAGGGAGGAAGAGAGCCCCGACCAGTGAGAGGAGTGACCGTCCCCTCCACCACCTCTGCCCCAGCCCCTTGCCGTCCCTAGCTCACCTCCTCCACCATCCTCCTTCCCTGGGACACCATGCGGAGAAAGCTCTGGATCAGCTGGAACTGCTCCATGGGCAAGGGCTTGGCCTGTGTGGGGGCAGCCCTGTCGAGGCAGGGGTCAGCACATTAGCAGGGCTCTTCCAAAGGTCTCACACAGCCACCTGCCTGCTGTCTCCGCTCATATGGCCGCTGGGGGACACCAGACTACAAGTTCCTTCTGAATCACGTTGTGGGAAGCAGGGGACAGTTCCCCAACTAGGGAAACTGAGGCCCAGAAAGGTCAGGTGACTTTCTCCAGCTCTCCCAGCAAGTCTTACGGCAAACCAGGAAATGAACCCCAGATGCCAAATGTCCAGCTCTGGCTCTGGGCTCCTAGACATGTCCCCACATTGTGGGGCAGCCTGTCCCCTCCTCAGCCCCACAGCCCTTCAGGACGCTGGGCCCTGGGCCACTCACTCTGGCTGGGAGGTGATCCCACTGCGGTGAAGCAGGATGAGGGTGCCCAGCACCATGCCCAGGTTGGTCCTGCCCACGCCCATCTGGCAGCTGAAGACGAGGGCTGGGGGAGGCCCGTGGGCATCGCAGAGCTGCAGCAGGCTGGGGGTCTCCTAAGAAAGACCATGAGGATCAGGCCCCAGTGAGGCCAGGAAGTCCTGGGCTGAGGCCTGAGCAGCGGAAAGCATGCCATCAGCCCACCCTGCCCCACCGTCTGCAACAAAGTGGGCTCCAGTAGGTGTCCCGGCCTCATCTGCCAAAGCCACAGCCTCATCAGCTCCGCCTGCTCCCTCCCCAGGCCTTGGAGGAGCTCAAAGAACTGGAAGTGAGAGCAACTCCGAGGGCATCAGGCCAGTATTAACACCTCCTGCGAGATGCCAGTGGAATAAGATAACGTCCTGAAGGGGGCTGGACAGAAACTCTGCCAGGACTCAGGAAATGTCAGTTGAAGAGTCTATAGGGCAAGAGTTGTTAGCTCCGCTAAAGAAATGAGGAACTGAGATCTAGAGTGGTGAGGCGATTAGTCTGGGGCCACACAGCAAGTTGGCAGCCCAGCCACGGCCAGCAGCTAGGCCAGTGGTCAGTGATGGGCTCTGTCATAAGAGACTGCACAAGCACACACCTATACACAGGTACACACACACAGACACACACAGACAGGAACACACAGATACAGACACTTAGACATGTACACACACTCCCCAGAGACACACACCAAGGCGCTGACACACACAGACATATACACGGAGACAGACACCACCATACGTCCACCCTGATGTGCTCACACACACACCACAGAACGAGGGCACCTCCGTGGGGACGACTCTCAAGACTCCTCCCCCGTGCCCGCCCCACTTACCCGGAGAACACTGACAAAGGCGTCCAACTGGGCCTCCAGGGGACTCCCTTGCTCGGGCAGAGGCAGGCGGTGGTACCTGCCAGGTGAGGGAGAGCGGCCCATGGGGCAGGCATCCACTCTGGGAATCCCCCTCACTCCCTATTCCCAGGCACTGTTTGGAAACGGGCCCCACCGTGGGAGACATGGGTGGGGGGCACTCGGCCCAACCTGCAGATGGTGAAACTGAGGCTGCAGCTGGGGAGCAGGACCTGCAGCACCCATGGCCGGCACGTGGGGCCAGGGCTGAGGGTGGCCCCGTGGTACCTGTAGGTGGGCTGCAGGAAGAGGGGTCGCTTGTACACCTCCTCTGTCACATGCACGTCGTCCTCACCACGGATGGCCACAGCGTGGGGCTCCCCCTGCAGGTCCTCGATGTTGTGGTACACATGGTATGTGTTCTCACTCAGCTGGGCAAAGTCGTGGATCTAGAGGGAGGTGTGGGGGTCAGAGAGCCATGCCTGAACTTCAGGTCCCTCCCTGAGTGTCCTGGCTGAGAGCTCTGGAGTGACCAGGCCATGCAGAGGCCACAGGCAGGCTTCTGCTCGAGCCCCCCACCCCGAGGGAACTACATGGCCAGAGGTGCTCTCTATGCCCTTCCTGGGAGTTCTGAAGGAATCGGGGTGCCCACACAGTGGCCAGGCAGGAGGGCTCTGCCCAGTGGGTGCAGGAATTCACAAAGCCACCAGTGCCAGGATGGGGGAGGTGTGGTCAGCTGAGAGCTGGAGCTGAGGGGAGCAGAGCACACAGGAGGCCTGGAGGGGATGGGAGAGGGAGAGAGCTGGGTGCCGGCACAGCCTTGGTTCCTGCCATGAAATTTCTGGGGGCACCGGGACCCCACACTCTATTTACACACCTTCGCAGTGTGTCAGCTGTCTCAGAGGCCTCCACAATTATGAAAAACCAGGAGGACAGAGGATCTTGAAACAGGCCCACAGACCCACCGAGGGAATTGACTCAGAGCCTCGGGGCTCTCAAAGAGTTGAACTGCAGCCTTGGTCCTTCTGGTCTAGTGCTCTTTTCACTCGCCCAGAACCCCCACCCCTTTTTTTTTTCAGATAGTTTCACTCTACAGCCCAGATTGGAGTGTAGTAGTGTGATCTCAGAGCTCACTGCAATCTCCACCTACCGGGTTCAAGCAACTCTCCTGCCTCAGCCTCCCGAGTAGTTGGGATTACAGGCATGTGCCACCACGCCCAGCTAATTTTTTGTATTTTTAGTAGAGACGGGGTTTCACCATGTTGGTCAGGCTGGTCTTGAACTCCTGACCTCAGGTGATCTGCCCTTCTTGGCCTCCCAAAGTGCTGGAATTACAGGCATGAGCCAATGCACCCGGCCCACCAGAACCCTTTCTAAATAAAGACGTTGAGCATCAAGGAGAAAAGCAGGGTGGGAAAGGGGCAGAGGCAGAGAGCTAGAATAGGAAGTCCTTCCTCTGGCTGCCTGTAAGCCAGCCTTGCAGCCAGCCACTCACCCAAGCAGGGCACAACAGTGGGGGAACATGGGCCAGTAAGAGCAGGTGGGCTGGCCCCAGAAAGAGCATCTGCAAAGCTGGGCTGTGGGCTGGAGTCTCCCACACACCGCACTGGTCCTCACCTCTTTCCGGATGGCCAGCTCCAGGCTCTCTACCCGGACCCCAGGTCCAAGGCCCTGGAGATTCTCATGAAGGTTCTGCTTGTCTCGAGGTGTGTAGGACACGAAGTCCTCATCTGCACGCAGGAACAGCACAGGTTCCTCCCGCAAACAGAAGATGACACACTCCTGCCAGGAGCCCGATGGGGAAGGAAGCCATCACCATGATCCCGCACAGACAACCGCACAGACACCCACACCACTGCCCCACCACAGGGCCTCTGCCCAAGCTGTTCCTTCCTCTTTAAGGGCCCTGCACCCCACGCCATCCCTGCAACCTGAATTCTACCCAAGAAGCAAAGCTCAGTCCAAATGCCACCTCATCAGGACCCTCCCGGTCAGCAGTGACCCCTCCCTCCTGTCAGGGCCAAGAGTCCTTCATCTGAATCTCCTGGCATTAATTCCTGCTTTGTATTATCAATGAGTGCATCTTTTCCCCCTTGATGGAGCACAAGTTCCTCGTAAGCAAAATCATGTCCTGGTCATTTACATGTACCCATAATTCCTAGCATGATGTCCTGGATAAATCAGGTGCTTGATGAATATCAGCTGAAGAAAAGAATGCCTCATGACCATGTAATCATTCATTCACTGAGCACCATACAGGCAGAGGGAAATGTGTGGGCAGACAGTCCCCTTGAGGAACTTATCATCAAGATAGGAAGATGGGACCTGTGCACAGCCCACACGCCCAACCCATTCTGTCTCACTCAAAGCCTTTCCACCTTAACCCCAGGGTCAATTCAGATGCAGCTGCACCCAAGAAACCTACAATCGAAGCAGAGCCTCAGCCTGTGTCCTAGGGACACGCAAAACCCTGCCTTGACATCCGGCAGGTAAGAACAGTCCTTGAAAGCAGGCACTTGGGAGTTCAGCTGCCCGGGTTTGAGTCTTGGGGTACCACTCATGAGCTGTGTGACCTGGAGCAAGTCACTGAGCCTCTCTGGGCCTGTTTCCTCCTCTGCAAAATGGGAGACAAACTGCCACTCCATCACAGGACTAACGTCAGGACGTAAGTGTTAGCGGTGATCACCATTCAGCAAGCTGTCAAATTATGAGCTGGCTCCTCCTGTCACCCGGTCATGCCCCCTACTTCCCCCGAAACTCCCAAGTAGGGTCTATGAAGGCTTCTGACCTTGTGCCCCGCCATCCACTCAGGACATGCAATCAATATCTACCAGAATTTCCCAACCAGACCAACCGCAGTGACCGTCCTGGCAGGCAGGGCCTGGTCCAGGCCACCACCCTACCTCCCCAGCATGCAGCAGGCCCCTCCAGCGCCTCTAAAGTTGCCCCTCTGAGGTGGGGCCTGGCTTCTGCCTGGGAAGTGACATGCTTACCCTATGTCCGTCCTTCTGGAGTTTCTGGAGGACCCGCCTGAACCCTGAGAGGCTGGGCTGTCCCATGCCGAACACAGCGAGTCCACCCTGCACCTGCCGGAAGTTGGGGGCCCCACAGCTTCCCACGGTGCCCAGCATGTCCATCTTCTCAGTGACATCTCGCACCAGAAAGTAGCGACCCTGGCAGGGGAGAGCCACAGGAAGGTCACTCAGATGGCTCAGGGGTATTTTCTGCAGATGGAGCTCTGTTCTGGGCTCCAGGGGACAGGGAGGGGGGAAATAGGGGCAAGAAGAACATGATCCTGCCCTCAAGTTGCCTGCAGTTCATGGAAAACATAGACACAATATATAACTCTCTGTGATCTGGGGAAGGGTGTCATAAAGTGCAGGAAAAGGAAAGACAACTCCTCCAGAGGGGACATCAGAAAGGGCTTCCTTCATGTGGGAGGTGATGTCTGAGCCAGGCCTGGAGGAAAGAGCAGGGAGACGCTCTCCAGGGGCAAAGCTGGCTCTAGGGTAGGAGGTCCCCTGAAAGGGGCTTTTGTAGGAAGGCAGAGCTGGGAAACCAGGAATCAACCAGAGGACCACAGTGTTAGCTCCATCCTAGGGCCCTGCCAGTTCTGAAGATGGGCAGAGAGATGGGGAAAGTGGGGGAGAGCCAGAGGGAGGTGAGGGAGGGAACTCATGAGAGATAGGGGTGGGAGGTGGCGGGTGGGCTGGCATGGTAACGCCTGAGCTCACCTGCACCAGGTAGTGCTCAGGGGTGGCGTCCGAGAGCCGGCCCAGCGTGTAATGAGCCTTGAGCAGCTCGTCATGGATCTGGAACTCCTCCTTGCAGTTGTACCTGTGGGGGGCAGAATGGAAACTAAGTCAAGGAACCTCCATGGTCAAGGCCAGCTCCACCCTCACAGAGCCCACGGCAGGGAAACCTCTGTGGCTACGATTTGTGGCAGAGACTGTCTACTGTCCCTCAACATCCACTCTTCCCTTCTTCCTCAACAAGACAGCCCCAGGGCTGTGACTGGGGACTGAGCCACCCAGCTGAAGACTACATTTCCCAGCCTCCCTTGCAACTCATTGTGGTCACATGATTGAGTTCTGGCCAATGAGATGTGAGGAAAAGTGTGCAAATTCCAAGCCATTCCCAAAAAGAAGAGGTGCCTTCAATTTTGTCTTCTCCCCTTCTTCCTGGCTAAAATCCAGAAGTGATGGCAGAGGTAGAACATCTTAGATCATAAGAGAAAGCCACATGTTGAGGATGTTGGAGCAATGAGGGAGAAGGGGCCTGGATGATCACGGAGCAGCCATCCCAGCCTGGACATCCTCCTGGACTTGCATGTAACAGATGAGCTTCCGTCCTGAGGAAGGCATCCTATCTGGGTTACTCTGACAGTGGCCTAGCCTGTACCCGGAAGAAGACAACATAACTGGATGGTCCCTCCATCAGATTGTGTCGGAGGGACAATCCCTACACTGCTAACTCCACACACAGCGAGGTGGTTTAGAATGCAGGATTGGGGCGTGAAGCCCAACTCCACCCACCACTTGGTAACTCTATAGCTTTGGACAAGGAGCTCAGTTTCCAGGAATTCCTACTCCCAAGACTGTCCTGAGAATTAAATGTGCTAATGATTGTAAGTGCTTAGCCCAGTGCCTGGGGGCACAGAAAGCTTTTATTAATATAATTGTAGTTTTACCTCCACACAGGGCTATTTCAAACAAAACCCACAGATAAAAATCAAGATTTCTGCAGATGCTAAACCAGGCAAAAGTCCCAACCACTCAAGCAAGATTTACTGTGCCCTCAAGACACAACAGCTCCCTTGCTGATGATCACAATGAATATGACAGGGCCTCCCAGAGTTCATGATCTGATGTTAGGTCCTCTTGACAAAAGAAGTGCCTTTTGGAAAGGCAGGAGGTGGAATGGGTGGGGCAGAGGAGCACTAGAAGAGGCCTGGGTTCCCACTCCAGCTCTGCCTCCTTGTACCACGTGACCCGTGGGGAGCAAGTCTCTCTACCTCCCTGAAACCCAGTTTTCACATCTGAGCTAAAATGCATTAGATCAGGGGTTGCCATTCCTTTTCTGGAAAGGGCCACACAGTAAATACTTGAAGATTTGTGGGCTATACAGTGCCTGTTGCAACTACTCAATTCTGCCATTGAGGTCCTAAGCATCCACAAATACTGTGTAAGTGAAAGGAAGTGTCAACATTCCAATAAAACTTCATTTGAAAAAAACGGGCCACACTGGGCCTGCAGGATGTAGTTTGCTGACCCCTCTATTGGATGATCTCTAGAGGTCCCTTCCACTTCAAACATTCTACACCCCCAAAAAGGGCTGCATTCATGGCTGGCTCCAGGCCCTAAGCACAGCGCCGTGTACAGGATTTTTACGCCTGGTCAGCAACTGTTCTGAGACACACCACTTGGTTACATATTCTGAATGTCATCTCTGCTTATGTTAATAAGGAAACTGAAGCCCAGAGAGGGAAAGGGACTTTGCAAGGTCACAGAACAAAGCAAGGGCAGAGCCAGGCCTGGGGCACGAGTCTCCATGCTACCTTCAGGCCCCAAACCACCTTTGTCATCTGTCAGTACAGAGACTACATATCAAGTCTCTTTTATATGACATTCCTTTTCCTCTCCTTATCAGAAGGCCAAGAATTGATTATGATGACAGTTTTCCTGGCAGGCCCCAGAGCTGGCAGGCAGGGTTTATCATTCCCACCCTCAGGTTTCCTTACACAGAAGGTCCCATCTGCTAAGTCTCTGCCAAACTTTGATGTGCGGAACACATTTAATTCCTAGCTAGTCATCTCCTGCTTCCTGCTTCCTGGAAGACCCAGAGGAGGGAAGCACAGTGGGCAGAGGTGTGGAAAGTACGAGGCTTCCCAACGCACCAGGAGATGGATCCAATGTCCCCTTCATCTTCCTGTCCTCCCCAGCACAGCTGTCCAGCACCCACCCCTTCCTCCAAGCCCCACAGGGCAGACAGGGTTTCAGGGCCCACCTCATGACCTTCTTCCTCTGGACACACGCAGTATGTCCAGATCTCAGAACACGCTGCCAGAACAAGCCCTGATGGGCATCATTAGGATAGCCGACTAGCAGCCTCCAGCTCCTTCAGCCCAAGGCCCTTCAACAGCCTGGTGTTAGCCTCAGTTTTGAGCTGTGATTATTGTCGGTGAAAAAGAAATCTCAATTTCATCCATCAATTACATAAACTTCTTTTGAAAATGTTAAGCCAAAAATTATTTTCAAAGGGGGGGTCCCCCAGCCACGCCTCCTCCTCCGCATTCCCTCACACTGTGGATGTGGTGAGTAGCATGGGCTCAGAGACCCATAACAGAGACCCAGTTCTGCCAGGTGCATGCAGTGTGACTCCCGATGAACTGCTTCATCTCCCTGGGCCTCAGTGTCATCATCTGTGAACCTGAATCCAGCCTGCACATGTTAAGTGCTGTATGCCACTGTACTCCCAGGTAAGTCCCCCTGCCCACCATGTCTCCCAGGGACATGGGCACACTCCCCCTGCCACTCACGTGATCACAACAGGGGCCACCTTGTTGGGGATGATGGACTTGGCCTTGCTGTTATGCAAGCTAGTGGTCTGGAAGGAGTGGACACTGAGGGAGTGCCGACCGTCCATCGTGCTGCTGCCCTGGAGGCCCTCAAAGGGGGTGCCTGCCGAGACAGTCTGCTGGGCTGTGCTGGCCGTTGTACCCATAGTCTGCTGGCAGCCTCAGGACCCCAGACCTGTGGAATAAGAGGGTATGCAGTGAAGGAGGGGACGGGAAAAGCCACAGCAGGAGACCTGAGCCACCTCTCGCCCTCCATCATACAGAGGGAGGCAGTTCACTCTGCAGCTGGAGACAGAGGGAGGCTTGCCACCTACACCCTGGGGCCCAGAAGATCACATGCTCACAGAGTGCCTGCTCCATGCCCGGCCCTTTACCGATGCTTTGGGGGAGTCATGGACGTAGAGACACATAAAGATGCAGTCCCCAACCCCTTTAGTTTGCACTCCTCTGGTGAAAATGAGACAGAAAGAGGTGAATCATCCACAGCAGGCCAGGGCCTAGAGTTCAAAGTGACTGTTTCAGGTGGTATAGACAAAGGCCAGACCTTCCAGGCTAGGAGAAGCAGGAAATGTCACCAAGAGAGGAGAACCAGGGGCAGATAGATGCAAAGAGGGAAGTCAGAATTGGATTTGAAGGCTTTGGATGGGAATGGATACAGGAGGACATACAGCCACGAATGTCATAAAATAAGGCCAGGGAAGTCCAGATTAGGTGAGCTCTCAGCAGATCAAGTGTTCAAAGAAAACACCAGGCCCTAAACTCAACATCAACATCAATATCTGAATTGGTGGCCGGGAGTGATGGCTCATGCCTATAATCCCAGCACTTTGGGAGGCCGAGGCAGGCAGATCACTTGAGGCCAGGAGTTTGGGACCAGGCTGGCCAACATGGTGAAACCCCATCTCTAATTTAAAAAAAAAATACAAAATTAGCCAGGCATGGTGGCACACACCTATAATCCCAGCTACTCAGGAGGCTGAGGCACGAGAATCACTTGAACCCTGGAAGTAAAGGTTGCAGTGAACAGAGATCCAGCCACTTCACTCCAGCCTAAGTGACAGAGTGAGACCCTATCTCAAAAAAAATAAAAACAAAAATAAAAAAAATCTGAATCAACATCAATATCCTCAACAGGCACAGCTCCCACCCCACTTGAAGAACACCGGGGACCCTCGGGGATTCGGCAATCCTCCTGCAAGTCTCCTTCCTAAGGAAATACTTGAGGATGTGTGCACAAAGTGGGTACCAGGATGTTTTGTTGACTGGGGTGTTGTTGATAATCACACAACACTGGAAACAACCTGCAGCCCGCAGCAGAGGATTTGCTGAATAAATAATGAGACATCTATAGGGTAGAATGTTGAACAGCCATTAAAAAAATCATATTGGCTGACACGGAAAGACATCTAGGACACAGCAGGTTGCATAGCAAGTGCGGGCACAGCCCCACCTTAACTCATGAAAGGGCATCAGGATGAGTCCGAGGGACAGACACCGGGATGCTAGCACGAGTTATCTGCAAGTGATGAGATTATGGACGATTTTTATTTTCTCCTTTTTGCTTATCTGTATTTTCTAATTTTTCTCCTCCAAACATTGGGTAATATGGTTAAAACCTATTTAAAGAATAAAGGAATGGCTAGGAAAGATGGCTAGGACATCTTTTAAGGGCTGGTCAAGGGATGGGGGAGTAGTGGCTCAGGAGTCCAAGAGCCAGAGCTGCAGAGGAGGGAGGGGGCTGGGAATTCCACAGGGACAGAGGGCGACAGAGAGGCGGGACAGAGGCGCAGGGAACTTTCTGGGAGCTCAGTGGCCACGGGCCCTACATAGTACTGATGGTCCAGGATTGGGGATCAGGGCAAGCTGCCCTGCCAGCCCGCCACCCCTTGACTCTGCAGAAACACGAGGACAATAAGCATCCCTAGAGCACAGCAACCTCCCCAGCTGCCCTCATCAGGCACAAGCTGCTCCACATCAATAGGGACTGTCTGCTCCCAACCATCCACACTCCCCCCGGGCCTCCCATAAGCAGCAGCATCACCTCAAGAAGTGGAAGGTAGGGTCATGGGGCCAGCATGAAGCTGGGGTCAGGTCAGTCTGAAGACTGAGCTCACTGTCCTTTCTTCCCCAGGTCCTGAACCAGAGCTCTAGTCCCCAGGTGGGGACGCCAGGCCTCCTCTGCACCATGCACTCAGACTCCTACCCTAGAGCCACCTCGCATTCAGGGACTCTCGGAGAGAACAACTCCAGACTCATCGGCCCTCCCAGAACCTTCTCAAACAGGCACCCGTCCCTCTCCAGTCTGGAAAGATCCCTCCACCCCCACCCACGCCTGTCACCCTTGAAAACTCCCAGGAGCCTCGTGATGGCTTCGTTAACATACACACCTTGTGTTTATAAGAGCCCCATCTCCATGGTGCTCCACACCCTAATTTCTCCCTCCCCTTCTCTCTCTTTTTGGCAAGGGTGGAGGGAATGAGCCTCTATGTTTCCAAACAGAAAAACAGGCAGATCAGAGAGGGGAAGGAGCTCCACAGTGGCCCCTCACTGGCCAGCAGCAGAGCGGAACCTTCTGTCCACCTCACCAGCCCTGGCAGGCCCCAACAGCCCTCATCAAACTTTCCCAGACCCCTCCCAGCAGCCTGGGCCAGAAAGACATGTGGGAACAGCCTGGAGAACAAGGGCTCAGGGCAGCTCTCCTGGGGGAGAGGATGGGCAGGACACAGAAGTGTCTGCAGAAGGCAACAGCTGGCCACAGCTTCAGGCCAAGGCCGGGCATCAGGGCCCGTCCCCACAGGGCTGGGATCGGCCTGACACCTCCGCCTCTCCTCCCCTGCCTGCCCCCGGCTCCAGTTCCAGCCACCATCACCTCTCATGGGCTCCAGAGGCAATGACAGGCTGCAGCTGGTGCCCTGTAAGGGTGGCCCAGAGACGACACAAATGTTCACAGCTGCGGGCCGCAGGGGTAGAACAGGCAGCTAGGGGTGGGAGGAGGGCAATGTCCTTTGAAAATCGAGCCCACCTCCAAAATATCTGGGGGGGGGCAACCCTAGGCTTGTCACACTGTAGCTCTCACCCTGAAATCTCTCTCAACTCTGCCAGAAAGAACCTTGCCAGCGTGGGGCCTTCCTCCTGCTGGCCACACACTGAGGGGCCTTGGGCCACTTCCTTCCCCTCTCTGGGCCTCAGTGTCCACAGCCACTGTAAAATGATAGTGAAGGGTGGGATGGTCTGAAAGCCCCTTCAGCTTCAGGGGGATCTGGCGCCTCAGATCAGTGGTCCTAGTGGTCACAGCACTGCTGTCGCCTGCCAGGGACAGGGGTCAGCAAAGGTAGGGGTGAGGTGGGGTGCCTAGTGCTCAAACCTCTGCTAGGGAAAGACAGGGCAAAGTGGGTTGGGATGAGATGTCCCTGCATGGTTGGTGAATGGTTTATGCCTTTATTTCCTGTCTTCTAACTCTCCTTTTGTCATAAGTGAGGGCTGCCCCTGCAGGGACAGTGGAGTGTGAGGCAGTGCCCCTGGAGCTCACAGCCATTTTCACATCACATCGCAGTGGGATCTGGAGATGTCGCTTATGATACCACTCTTCTAAACAACAGTCATTATCAGACCCACCAGGGACCACGTGAGCCCCTGGTCCCCTGCCCACAGACACTGAGCTGACGCACCTGGCCAGCTTCGAGTAACTCTGTACCTGGTACTCTTAAACCACTCCCCACTCCCACTATGGGTCCTCACGATTCAGGTTAACTCAACAAGCTTGGAGAATCCTAGCGATCCTAGACAGAAGCCTGACTGTGCCTTATAAAACTAGCTACAAAGAAGCTGCAATTACATTTGCGAAGTGGGATTTGCAATACTTGGGAAACCTCGAAACAAAAATATCACAATGGCCTGGGTGTCCACCATGCGGGGCGCGGGCCTTTCCCTCAAAGACACTCCCCAGTTTAACAGCCCCACTGAAGCTGAGCCACTGCAGCCTTGTCACTGATGAGTCCTTCAAAATAAAAATGTAACCTTAATTTGCCTAATGGGTTATCTTATTAGTGCAATAATACCTAAGACAAATATTACCATTTGTTTACTGTTTACTTTTTAAACACAATGTGTTTAAATATTTTGATAGTTCTCTCAATGAAACATATTTCCTTTGTAACCCCGCATATTTTATGTATTTAAAAGCATTCTGAGAAGGAGTCCATGGGCTTCTGCTTGGGGGTCCTTGGCACAAAAAAAAAAAAGAAAGAGGAAACCAGCCAGGCTTGGTTCGTGCCTGTAATCCCAGCACTTTGGGAGGCCGAGGCGGGCAGATCACTTGAGTTTGAGACCAGCCTGGCCAACATGGCGAAACCCCGTCTCTACTAAAAATAAAATTAGCTGGACATGGTGGCGGGCTCCTGGAATCCCAGCTACTCGGGGGGCTGAGGCAGGAGAATCGCTTGAACCCAGGAGGCGGAGATTGCAGTGAGCCAAGATGGCACCCCTGCACTTCAGCCTGGGCGACAGAAAGACTCCATCTCAAAAAAAAGAAAAAAGAGGAAATCTTGCTTGAAGGGAATAACATTCCCCACTGCGAACACAGGCCCTCTTCCACCTTCTCTGCTTCTGTTATTAACATCCCAAAGCCCTCATGAAGTGCCAGGCACCTTGCTGGATGCTTTTTGTCATACGGATCCCCAGAACCCTATTAGGATGAGGCCTCATTGTGTCCATTTTCAGATGAGGACAGCTGGTCTTTGGGAAGGGGCAGCAGTTGATAACTGCCCCTCAGCTTCCTCCCTGCCTCTTTAGACCTCACCCTACCAGCAAAAGCAGCTCATACTGTCCCCTTCCCTCTGGATCTGAATGACCCCCAACCCCATTCACTCCATTCTCTGTGGGAACACCCTGACGAGGCCTCCCAGAGAGATACACAGCTTCTAACAGACGGTCAGGGACTCCAGGACCCATCTCACCCATGGAAGCCCTCAGTATCCAGCTAAAAAGCCACAGAATCATCCAGGCTGCAGCTCCAATGGCATTTGAGAAGGTCTGGCACACAGACATGCCATTCTCCTACCTCTCATGGCAGTCAGAAAAGAAACTGACTGGCTGGGCGCGGTGGCTCACGCCTGTAATCCCAGCACTTTGGGAGGCTGGGGCGGGCGGATCATCTAAGGTCAGGAATTCGAGACC